CATTTTCATTTGTTTTAATTACTTTTAAATTTTTAATGTTATTACTGCTCCATAAACCTTAATAGGCAGTCGGAACATTCAGGGTTTCGCCCTGATACGAGCAGTCTTGTTTACATTTAAATTTTTTATGTTACTACTGCTCCATAAACCTTAAAAGGCAGTCGGAACATTCAAGGCTTCGCCCTGATACGAGCAGTTAAAATCAAAAAAGTCAAAAGTTTATGAGATAACATAATAATGTATCTTAATCTGGATGACTCAGGTTATGACTTTTAGTTGTCAAATAATACATGATGACAGTTCGGATTTTTACAAAGTGAGTATTGCTAATGAATAAATACTTGTGATCTATATTTTATACCCAATGGTCATCCAATTATGAAGCCTTCAATCATATTAAATATATGCGTACTACTATCAAAGTAGAGAGCAATTGTAAAACCAAACATGGATTTAATTATCAGTTGCTCTAGGAAAAGAATTCTCAAAATTTAAATTCGTAGGAGAGTGAAAGTATCAAAGGATGAGTAATTAGGGATATAATTGAGTCAGAAAGGACATTAAGACTTCAGGAACAGTTCGATAGTCACTCAAGTGCAGTTTTTGAGGATCTTCTTAACTAAGTGTTCTCTAATGCAAACAAGACTGCTCGTATCAGGGCGAAGCCCTGAATGTTCCGACTGCCTTTAAGGTTTATGGAGCAGTAATATCACAAGCAACAAAAAAATAAAATAAAATAAAACGAAAATTTTTTCTAAAATTTGAATTTTTTTCTTTGAAAATCATCCCCCACACGCCATGTAAAGTACAAAACAGTAAATTTCGCTTCTTGTAACAAATCAATTAAGGCAAATACGCTTTTTTCAACCAATTTGGAGCGATTTCTAAGACAGATTAAATATCGGCTTACTCGTTACTAGCGCGAAATATGTCGCGCATTAATTGTCCCAAATTGGCCAAAATTAAAATCTTTAAGCCCCCGTAACTTTACAAAAAATGATCACAGGTGAAATATTTTTGTCAAATTTGAGCTCAGGACAACAAGAGCTGTCGAATGTTATTTAAAAAAACCGTCAAAAATGGCTAGTTAAAAGTCAAAATTTGTCTGAAGAAAAACAAACCCACCCCGAGCACAAATATTCCGTCACTTTCAGAATAGACTTTTTTTCCGACTTTCGATACGAAAGTAACGGAATATTTGTGCTCGGGGTGGGTTTTTTTTCTTCAGACAAAGTTTGACTTTTAAACTAGCCATTTTTGACGGTTTTTTTTTTAATATCATTCGAAAACTATTGTTGTCCTGAGCTCAAATTTGAAACGATATTTCACCTGTGATCATTTTTCGTTAAGTTACGGGGGTTTAAAAATTTGGCCAATTTGGGACAATTAACGCGCGATATATTTCGCGCTATTAACGCGTAACCGTAGATTTAATCCGTCTTAGAAATCGTTCCAAATTGGTTAAAGGAAGCTTATTTGCCATAATTGATTTGTTACTAGAAGTGAGATCTATCACTTTGTACTTTATATGGCGTGTGGGGGATGATTTTCACAAAAAATCTCAAATTTTTTTACAATTTTTTTTTCATTTTTTTTTACATTTAATTTTTCCATGTTATTACTGCTTCATTGATCTTTAAAGGCAGTCGGAACATTCAGGGCTTTGCCCTGATACGAGCAGTCTTGTTGTGTTAGAAAACTGTCTGCTCTCATTCATTACGTTATCTACAATTAAATGCCAAGGAAGAGTTGTTTTTCATCTAAAATAGGGTTAATCATGTAAGAGATCTGTTTTGAAAGTATGAACACACACAAGCAGAGTCATTTTTCTTATCACACTGTCAGTTGGCAAAGGAATTTGGTTGTGTTTCATTGTTTGCATGCTGTTACATTTTCATTGTTTCGCATATGAACTTCATTTATTGCATGTTGTTATCGCTCGTTTCAAAGCAGCACGCATCGGCTTCATGAACAGCAGAATCGGGCTGCGAAGCATGATCCCAATTGACCCAACAATCTGGGCCATGCCCATCAAAATGAGCGTATTTTTTGGGTTGTTGAAGTCACGCCAAAGATATGCCAGAAACAATATTGTGTATTGAATTGAACCGAAGGCAGCAAAAACCGTTGAACTTCCAGCCAGCGCGATGGTGATCTGAAAATAAATTGTGGGTATAGCGCTAAAAAGCAGAGGGTGGATTTAGGGGAGGGGGTGGGGTGGCTTGGGTTATTTATTACGACATCCAACTTCGACCGACCGACCCTAAGACTTTTCTAAAGGCGACTTCGACGCCAATGTATACTGATTTTGAGGGGGAGCTCGCGCAAAAAACCTACAATTTTTTTATATGTGCATTTGGCGCCAGTACATACTTATCTATAGGGGAGCGGAGCGTGCCGTAAAACTCGACTTTTTGGTCAAATATTTGGTCAATTTTTTGCCCAAAACGGCCTGTTTGGAGTGTCTTTTCAAAAATTTACCAGCGTTTCAACTTCGCTAAAATATGGTTTTATGGTACTTCATGAGAGCTCGGAAAACCCTATTTGGTCGACCTAAAAAAAATTCTTCATAATTTTCGATTTTGTTTGGAAATCCTCCCTCTCTCGACAAAATCCAAGATCCACCCCTGGCTAAAAGCTTAACTTTTGAAATCTCAGCTAATTTGTTTTTGTGATATCGTGAAAACTTCAGCTTTCTTCAGCCAAAAACTTATTAGTAAAAAATCAAGAGACGAGGTGTTAAATCGTTTTCCCTCCTCTTTTAACCTCTTCTTATGATTATTCACTGATTCTAACTGCATCTAACTGTCGCCCAATCAGCTAATTAAAAGTATGAAGAATGCGTTATAACAATAAGAATCGTTACCGGTTTCTGATTTCGCATCTCAGAAGACTGTTGTGACTTTTTCACTCGAGCAAGCATTATCCCCAGAAGTGCCAATGTTGACACTGCTACGATAAGAACGGCTGGGATCCCCACAAGAGCAGAAGTTTGGTCGTACTTCCGGTTTGTATTAAAACAGTTCTCCCCTATTTTCTCCGCAAACAGAAACTTAGGTGACGCCAGGCAAGCTGTGGCAAAAACTATCGGGACAATAATTTTCCAAGCGCTTGTTTTCGTGCATTTTTGTGAGTACCAAGCAGGGAACAAGACAGCGTTCAGTCTATCCAGGGACACTGGTACAGCCAGGAAATCAGGAAGGACGAAAACTAAGTAGGTGGCGTACTGTGAAAACTTACAAGATAGCTGGGTTGTTCGGTCGATGCAAAACACTCCATCTAAATGAACAAAAATAACAACAGAAAAACAAGAGAAAGCTATGGATGGAACCCATTTTTTCTATTCGGAGTACTTTTAACTTCAAAACAGCTGAAAACATTTCTGGATAAAATTTGTTTAAAAAATGATGAAATTGTTAGACGAATTTTCTGTTAAAAGAAGAATTTCAACTCCGATTTTTCTTTCAAAAAGAGGAACTTAAAAGCTAGAAAACGGTTGCTACTTATTGTTCCGACTTTCGATACGAAAGTGACGGAATATTTGTGCTCGGGGTGGGTTTTTTTTTTCTTCAGACAAACTTCGACTTTTTAACTAGCCATTTTTGACGGAATTTTTTTTATATCATTCAAAAGATATTGTTGTCTTGAGCTTTAATTTGAAAAGATATTTCACCTGTGATCATTTTTCGTAAAGTTATGAGGGTTTAAAGGTTGCCATTTTGACCAATTTGGGACAATTAACGCGCGATATAATTCGAGCTATTAACGGGTAAGCGGAGACTTAATCCGTCTTAGAAATCGTTCCAAATTGCTTGAAAGAAGCTTATTTGCCATAATTGGTTTGTTTCAAGGAACGAAATCTTTCCTTTCGAACTTTAAATGGCGTGTGGGGTGATGATTTTCATAAAAAATTTTAAATTTTAGAAAAAAAAAATTTCCATTTTATTTTATTTCATTTAATTTTTTAATGTTATTACTGCTCCATAAACCTTACAAGGCAGTCAGAACATTCAGGGCTTCGCCCTGATACGAGCAGTCTTGTTTATTTTCCGTAAGTATTTTAGTACTGACCAAAGTCAAACACTCCACAGACTGCAAGTTTCATCACTGCCAACTGCTGCAAAATCTGACCAATTGACTGGACCCAGAGAAACGTCTTCCCAGAGTAGTTTCCGGGCAGCCCTTTTGCGATCAAGATCACAGAAATCTGAGAGATGACAGCGCATGCGCAAAGAAGAGACACAATTTGAAGAAGACCCGGGTTTCTTTTGGGCTCCTCTGAGAGAACAGTTTCAGTAGATGTGTTGAGATCAAGCATCTCGGACATTTTTATTTTCAATTTTAGTTTGGTTCTCTATTTTTTTGAAAGATTTTTTAATCAACTTCTCAGTAAGTATGATCAAAACGCAATGAAAGTATTTTAATCAGAGATCACTGTTAGAGAGGCGTTGACAACGTTTCAAAGGTGAATTTGGCGTAAATTTTTTGTTATTTTGTAAGAGCGAAATAACTTATAATTGCTGTTATAGTAATAAAATACTCGTCTCGCCTCCTGGTGAAGAGGAAGTTAGTAATCTTTTATCTATTTCACTCATAAAAAACGGCTATTTTCTTTGTCACTTTATACTGATTAAAGTAAATTTTGAGGCTACTAACGGCTGCTGTCTCTAAAAATTTAGATTCAATTAAAAAGAATTTCGAGAAGAGATCTTTATGGCGTTGTTTCGGCAACCCCTCCCTAATAACTCAACCATTCTTTTGGTTTTCTTCTCGCTTCTACGCTCCTGAGAAAAAGGAGGAGATAAAGAAGACAAGCACAGGAGGAGACAAAACAAGCACACAAAATTTTTATTAGACAAAGAGAGAAAAGAAACAAGCCCTGACTCATTTTATGGTTATTTTTTTGCAGACTGCTTTTTATCATTTTGCAGACTTCGAATTTTTCTAATCATGACTGCTGCCCCAAAAAATCATGACTACTGTTCCAACAAACTTTGCCCAAAATCACTTACACAAATACAAAAAAAAATGAAAACAATTTTTTTTGTCCGCTCCAAAAATTTTTTGAAGAGTTTTTATCTTGTATAATATTTTTTGCGGGCGCTCTTCATTGCGCACTCACACTTTGCACTATATAGACGCGCAATTTTATTTCTGTAGGTTCCTGGATTCCAGAGAAAAATCTTCAAACATGTTCCAAAATGTAAGTGAGTTCCATTTACAAAATTTCCGTGGATTCCGCGTACAAGTGCCTGTAACGTAAATTTTGTCGGCATATTTGTTGTTTCGCAGATTCCACAACAAGCAAATGTAGCTAGTTGTTCTAGATTCCGCAACTGGAAGTGGATTCCGCAAAAGGTAAGTATAATCCGCAAGTGTAAACGGGTTCCGCGTATTCTAAGTGAGTTCCGAATTTTGTTTATTAGTGAACTTGTATATGAACAATTAAAAGCAAGAACGGGAATCCTTAACTATAGCACTGTGGAAACTAAAAGCAAGGATTTAACCATTGTCAGCAAAATCAAATCTGAAAACATTGGTTAGCTAAATCGATGGTGTCAACTTTTAGTATGTGGAATACATATCCCAGCAAGCAATTTTTGGGATTTAGTTTTGGAAACGCAACAAGGAATAAATTCATTATTTGGATTTAGTGATTTGAGAGTGTTTGGAAACACAACGCACAGCATATTGCCTAATTAGGTCAGTGTTTGGTGTTCGATGAAGGCAGTTTTTTGGATAAGATTATAGAGTGAGTTCAAATCATAAGGGCAGTTTTGAGACGAGTCGAGAGTGAATTCAAATAAATTTCAGTATTTGTGATGAAATGAAAGCACACCCATTGTACATACTGAGTACTACAATGATAGAGAGATCCCTCAAAAAGGCAATTATGATAGACGAGCCCCGCTTGTGTGGAGCATGTAATAATTTGATAACTAAAATCGGTATAAAATACTCAATTCGAAATTTTTCAGATTCAAATTTGAAATTGATTGTTTTTATTTCATCAAGATATATGCTCGCTCGAACTAGTTTTACATTTCCACAACCACAATTGATTTTAACTGTTTGCCAACAAGATTTAGGAACAACAAACAAAAAAAATGTTCAAAAATGCGATTAGTTATCTTTTTGAATGGCTAAATCATAATTAGTGAACAACTTTACAGCGTTCAACGTCTTATTCTGAAGGAATCTGTTTGTTTTAAAGAGACCAATCTATCATAGTAGTACCAATTTTGTAAAGAGTACATTTTTTAACTACGAATTTCATCTTCAACTGCATAATTATGTAAAATTAGGGATGGAGGATTCAAAAAATAATTTAAAAAACTGGTAATTTCGAAAAACAACTCGATAGAGATGTGATTTGAGTTCACGCACGGAAACAGTAATGGATTATCAATCCAAAAACTTAACCACTCAGCCACCTTGTCATAAAAACACCACAACGCAAGCCAAACACACGAACTATATACTCGATAAGATTGATTAGGTGACCTTTCAAACTGGGATATAATGAAATAGATGAAATCAGAAAAAGCTCCAAATTGGAGAAGTTAGACGGATCGGTACAAAAATCGTTGCAAGTATGATAGAAGGATTCTGTTCGGCCATGCTGTTCGGACTCAGTTCTTTGCTCACCTTATAAACATTTGTGGTGAACGGCCTTTTGAGTCAAACCTAAAAAAACATGGACTTGCCAATGAACTAGTTCAATGGGCCATTTGGCTTTTCATTAAAATATGTTGCAAGTTTGTTTGGTCAATAGAGTATCTTTTTTTTGATAGTTGAGTCCAAATATGTTTCTGACTGGTGGTAAGACAAAATTTTTAAACAAGTAAGACAAGAATTTGTATCGAAGTTGGGTGTTTGACGGGAATTGAGATCGAAGTTGGGTGTTTGATAGACATGGAGACCGGACGTTTGTTATTTCAACGGGTAGCTGACCTACATAGAAACTGAGATTGAACTTGCTGGTGAACCTTTAATAAAAAAAGATATAATTTGAAACGTCACTACATATATACAGATATGTGAATGGAATCCGAAAACAAATTCCGCTTACAGTTACCGTCCGCAACAGCTCAATTTAACAATGCAAAAGTCTTATCATTTGTTTGAAGATTCCACAAACTGTTCCTGATGCAACAATGACTATTGAGGATTCCGCAAACTGGCCTATTTTTGAAGAAATTTTGCGCTGCACAGCAAGTTATTTAATTGATAAGAAAACCCAAAACAAGCAAAAAAGATCGAAGAAAAGAAGAAATATGCAATTTCCGCAGCAAATCTGTTTTCGCGAGAAATTGCGACAAGTTCCGCGACAAATCGGAATCCGCTTACAATGCACATAATGAACAGTTTGGTCTCGTAATGCTTCACAAACAGCGTATGCAAAGTGCAGTGTGATCAAGTCAAAATTGATCGAGCATCTCAACCACACGTTTTCGTGATTTAATAACTTCAAAACAGAATAGTCACGTTTTGACAAACAAATACAAGGCGTACTGATTCAAACGATTTGGAAGTAATTAACAAAAATAGAAAATTCAAAGGCTTTCCCTCATTTCGAGTTGACAAACTCTCTTCTGCAGTAATCTCAATGTGCTTTGCCTGAAAGCCAAAAACAGTCAATTTCATTAAATAAACAAAAAACTTTTTGTACCTCAGTAACTATCCCTAATTTTTGAAACGCTGGAAAAAAGTTTTTCATAACAAAATGATTGCTTACCACCAATACTAGCAATCTCTTAGCGCTTACATTCGAAAATTGGTTATTTTCTTGTCATTACGGGTTTCCTAAAATTCAATTTTTTCAATCGGTTTAGAACTTGGAGCAAGTATGATAGAGGGACCCTGTTTTGCCATGTTGTTCTTATGAGCAAACTTGTGGCAGCTATGATCAAAAATTTATTTTTGTATTTGTAACACTTTTTCATAATCAAAATTTATTTTATTTTTGGAGAATAGCGTATAACCCCATAATAGTTACCGTCCGCAACAGCTCAATTTAACAATGCAAAAGTCTTATCATTTGTTTGAAGATTCCACAAACTGTTGTTGATGCAACAATGACTATTGAGGATTCCGCAAACTGGCCTATTTTTGATGAACTTTTGCGCGCTACAGCAAGTTTTGTAATTGATAATGAAATCCAAAACAAGCAAAGAAAATCGAAAAAAAGAATCATCCGATTTCCGCAATAAATCTGTTTTTGACAAATTGCGACAAACTCAGCGACGAATCGGAATCCGCTTACAATGCACATAATGAACAGTTTGGTCCCGTAATGCTTCACACACAGCATATGCAAAGTGCCTTGTGATCAAATCAAAGTTAGTCGAGCAACTTAACCACATGTGTTTGCGATTGGATAATTTCGAAACAGAATAGCCACGTTTTGAAAAATTAATACAAGGCTTGTTGATTCACATGCTTTGGAAATAACGAACAAAAATAGATTTTTCAAAGGTTTTTCCTCATTTTTGGTAAATCTTCGACAACAATATAGTTCAAAATTGCCTGAAAATACTCCGTACTAAAAAAAATTCAATTTACTTTAAGATACTGGGGTTCAAACTTAACTTCAAACAGGTTCTTGTTGGCTTCTTTATTCAATCAGAAATTACACAGAAAACACCTTATCATTCAAGTGCACTAAAATGGGTCTCTTGTGTAATCCAACAAAAAATTATAAATTTGAAATTCTCCTCTGCAGTAATCTGAACGTGCTTCGCTTGATAGCCCAAAACAGTAATTTTTAACGAATAATCAAATATTTTTTCGAACCTCAGGAACATTCGCTAAATCGAGAAACGCTGGAAAAAACAGTTTAATGACGAAAAATTTTCAAATCATAAACGGTTTTCCCAAAAAATTGAAAATTTTCAATTGGTTGAAAACGTGGAGCAAGTATGATAGAGGTATCTTGTTTTGTCATTTTGTTTTTATGAGCAAACTTGTGGGATCTATGATCAAAAATTACAGTTGTGTAGTCATAACACTCTTTTTCTTTATTAAAACTTACTTTGTTTCTGGAGAGTAGCGTTTAACCTTATAGTTGGCTAAGTTAATTCAATTTTCCCTTCTTAAGTAAGTACTGCTTCATGTTCAAATCTTGCCAGAGTAATTGTAAGGGAAACCTCTTGACATCTACAATCAAAAAATTTTCTTTTTGTTGTCAGAACAGTTTTTTGCTAAAAACTAAACTTTTAGGGTGTTTTTTGCTGTCCGCTAGGGGGTTGAATCTCTTCGCAGTGGTTGGTATTGAAATTTTGTATTTAGGAAAAAAAACGAAGTAGATTTTTTGAAAACAAAAAATCAAAACCGATTGTCTGGAGTGTTGGGAAATGAGATTATTTTTGGCCTGTTTTTCAGGAGT